TTTGTGCTGCGCAGCGTCTGGGTGTGGCACGGGCTCGATCGCGATCGGGCAATCAACATAACCAACACTCAAGTAGGATACAGGAAGATTGCAAAGTTTATTACGTACACAACAGTTTATAAAGGCAAAAACCACAAACCCAAATTATCCAATAGTAAGACAAACTTAAATTATCCAATAGTAAAGCGTACCTTTAACTTCTACCCAGATACTAGACAAGGTGCACCTTTTCTTAAACTGTTAAAATGTTAAACCTCTCAGTCAGTACATCCTGCCATTTTTGGCTGTGTTCCCAGATCTCTTATCTGAACATCTATCTATGTTTGCTACGATATTTTGAAGACACCTGCAGTCTAGCGTTCTTCCTGTAACATTTTGCGGTTGTACTTGTTACAATTAAAATTTTCCATATAAGCTCGACAATAATGCTGACATTTCTTTACTTAAGACATAATAATTTCATCTACTTAAAGCATCACTCTAACTCTTATCACAATGCAAGCATAATGAATACAAAATGGTATACCTGAATCAATAGCCCTAGCGCATATTCCCACCACAGAAACAACAGTTCCGTCAGACAGAAAATGCGCTAAACTCTCTGACTGCAGATATTTCCCCTGACTGAGCTAAGGACAGCAGTAAAACCCAACATGGGTTGTTATCATTTGCCATCTATCCAAACCTAAAAAAAATCTGGACAGAACAATTAATAGCTTCTACACCACATCAGACCAGCTAAAAAGCTTGGCCAAAGAGCAAAATGTAGATCTGGCCCTGAACTTGCCTGATCTGCCCAGTGCAGTTTGTGTTACCAAAGCAGTGTAGAGGAAAGCTGTCACACAGCAACCAGAGAACCTGTGCAGAAATGCATCTGTCCTCACATAGTAAAGCAATTCTTTACAAGGACAAAGAAGCATGGTGAGGCTCTACTATCATTTACCCTAGCTATATTGCAAGACATGACACATTCTTTTGGAAAAGGAAGCAAGGAACCTGGAAAAAGAAGACATATTAATTATGCACCTATTCTTTCTGATCTAGGAAGTGTACCCTTACCCAGAATCAGAATATCGTCTGATATCCCACCCAGAAAATATTTTTTAGTATAGTAAATAAAACAATTTTAAAGGGTGCAATAGAAACAGTATGATATCAGTACTTTTCCACACCCATGACACAGAACAGGGTGGCTGTCTCCCCATCTGTCTCAAAAGCAAATAAAGTCCCCAGAGAGAAAATGTTTTAGAAATATAAATTTAATTTTTTTGAAAAAATAAAAAGTTTTAACTGAAAATGGACAACTATTGTAACAGGTTTTGAGTGACTGCCAAGGGCCTAGGACCTTAAAAGGTGGTATATTTCTCCAACAAAGCACTTAGCTAAGGAACCTTTTCATCCTCCAGTGATTAAGTGCCCTTGATTTATTAGTTTCAGGTCACTCATGGAAGTCCCTTCACCACCAAACTCTACATCTACTGCTATGAAGAATGGACTACAAAGCCTCACTACTTTACCAGTGTTCTTTTTATGGTAAACAGAATTGTGTCCTCTAACATGATAATATGAAATATGAGTTGTTAATCATTAATTTGAGTCAAGGGAACTAAATTTGCATGGGTCTCTGAGACAGGCTAGAGAAAAGTGTAAAAAAAAACATTGCAGGCTATTCACTCTCCTTGCACAGGGCATATTTGTAGGAGGTATAACTGAAACCCTTTCCTCTGATTGTAGGAGACCTGCCTACAAGCTAGAGAAAGGACACTTGCTGGGTGTCCGTCAGCCGTAGTCAGAGAGAAGACATGTCCTCTGACCTGTGAGAAAACTGAGCCTTGTGATGTGACCAAGATGTTAGTTCCCTACCCTGCTATGAAAAGAATATGTGCAGGATGATGAAATGTAAGGTGGGATAGTTTAGTAGATTTATTGGGTACCGCATTTCACATTTATATGCCATGGTGAAATACCTACCTAGAAGGAGGTAAGAGGAAAGACCCCTTGTGTTCCACAGGCTAGTGAATTCAGGTGCACTTCAGTGACCATTACTCTTCTCCTACATTAATGACTTTCTGAGCAAAGGTATCTTTTTTAGGTTACAGGCTAACAAAGCAGCCAACTAGCTACTTCTAAAGCTCCCCCTCCCCAACTTGTTTAAAAACTGTAAATAAAATAAAAATTAAATACTGTAACTCCTTTCCATCACAGGATGTTCTCAGTCTTCCCAGCGTCATTCCACCCAGAAGACTGAAGACATCTTGTGAGTGCATGGCATCATGTTCCCACCCCTGAGGGGACATCATCCCGCTTTAATATACATTCATGAAGATTGCAGTGCGGATGTTATCACAGAAAAGGCATAGAACGCGTGTGTGTGTGAGGAGGGGGGGGGGGGGGGGGGGTAGTTGGGGAAAAGGGGTTGAGCCTTAGAGGGACCAGTGATCTGGTCTACATTGTGCAAACACAAGGAAATGTGGAAATGTCTGAATTATCTTCATACAATTTTTGTGTGATTTTATATAATAATTTCAAAAGCATTACCTCAGTAACAGTGACATGTTTATTTCTACAGGCATAACATGTCAAAACATTTTGATTTTTACTGACGTCTTCTATAAAGAACCCAATGGATGGGTCCATTTAAATTTTTACCGACAACTTCTATAAAGGACCTGAAGTATGGCACATCATAAAACACCATTTATGATTTCAAAAACAAAAACCTGCTTGCTCCTGCAATATTTCTGCATTTCCATAAATATTACATCACTATTTTATAGAAAAGAAGATTAGGCAGTAAATTGCTTTTTGCAACAGAATAGTTCCAGTTTCTTTTGATACAGAAAGATATGTCATATTAATTGTATATCAAGTTATAAGAGGAATCTATTTCTCTTGTTTTTTTGTTCATATATTTTCACCAAGTGAATTTATATTTCCCTTCGGTTTTATTCCCCTTTTATGAGCCATCTGCTTTCTGATTGGTTTAAGTAAAATCTGCATTATAATAAGCCTCAACCAGCTGTTTTTGGCTAGTAAAGGATAGCTTTATCTGTAAATAAAAGGCTGCAATTTAGCAATTGCTTGAGTGACGCATACGCACTTTGTTATGTTGAAAAGGACTTAACTTGTTTACACCGCTGGCACATAGTTTTATCACCAGCTTTTCGTTCATTTACATTATACTGTGCCTAGCAGCAAAATACGAATTTGAATACATAAAACATGGATGGAAATCGCTTTGTCTCAGTTTGCAGATAGCTTTCCTAAAGAAGAACAGTGAAAATAATGAAAATATGTCACCGGTGTAATAAAACACATCAGTTTCTGTACATTATAAAATGAAGTAGCTTGTATTAAAGTACATTTGTCATGAAAAACCATGAAGGCTCCTAGTCCTCGTCTTCTGAAAATGCTAGTTGTTTTGCTGTCATGCTAATCCTCTTTTTTGAATGATTTCTGAATTACAGGTTCAGAAGCATGTAGATCAGGAACAACAGGGGAAAGTCTGAAATCCACATCTGCATACTTGTTTTGGTTCTCTGAGTGTTAAAGTGGGAGGATCTGTGTGAAAGCCAGATAGCTAACATTTTCAGAAGAGGAGGTTAGAAAAAAAAAAGAACCAGAATAAACATGCAGATAAGGAATTCTATGTTTCCTCTGCTCTTCCTGATCTACATGCTTTTAGTTAAATGATTCATTGTATTAAAGTCAACATTACAGCAATTCAACTGGTATTTTCAGAAGGGAGACAAGAATTGCGCTCAATGTATTTATCTCATAATAAGTCTACTTTAACACTTAAGGTGTTATTAAACCCACAACAGTAAAATCAGTCTGTATATGCAGTAAAGCATGCTTGTTATACTCACTGTGGAACCTAAGGGGTAACTCCTCTGTATTGTGTAAAAATTATGTTTGATCCTGACTTCTCTGATCCTCCCCTTCTTCCAATGCTTCCCTCTTATCTCCTGATAAGACATATCATGTGGAGACACTGCACATGCTCAGTTTGGTGTGTATTGCTAGAGAGTTTTTTTTTCTTATGAGAGTGCATGTGATCAACACTGCCCAGAGGTCAGGGGTTCTGCATCCTCCTAGAGAAAACTCCTCCTACAAGCTTTAACCAGTGCTCTACTGAACACGGATAGAAGTCACAAGACTGCTCTAACTGCTGATGAGAAAAGGTATTTAGTAGTTTACCTTTACTAAAATAATTGCATTTCCATGTTCTGTGTACTCTTGGAGACCAGATATAGTGAATGCAGGGTCCTGGGTTTAGTAACACTTTAACCATTCTATTTGACATTCCTTAACCACTTGGCAACTGAGCTATAGCAGAATGACATCCTCCCAGAACGCGCCCTCCCGTGCACCGCCAGCGATCTTCATGATCGCTGTGTCCTACGGACACAGCTGACCATGTGATGTGGTAAAAGGCCAATCACGCTGTCACTGCATGCAGAAAAGTACTGCCGATAACCAGCAATTGTCAGAGAAATGAGTGGCACTGATCATCAGGGCACTGATGATCAGTGCCCAGCAGTGGGGCGCACCAGTGCTGCCCACCAGTGCCCAGCAGTTCCATTCATTAGTGCCCAGCAGTGCAACCCACTTGTTCTCATCAGTGCCCAACAGTGCCACCCACCTGTGCCCAGCAGTGTCACCCACCAGTGCCCAGCAGTGCCCCCATCAGTGCTGTCCAGTAGTGTAGTTCATCAATGCCCAACAGAGCCACCCAGCAGTGCTGCCCAGCCATGCCACTAATCAGTGCCCAGCAGTGCCATCAGTCAGTTCCATCAGTCAGTGCCACCCATCAGTGCTGTCCATCAGCACTGGCTAGCAGTGCCCATCAGTGCTGCCTATCAGTGTCCATCATTGCTGCATATCAATGCAGCATCATCAGTGCAGCATCATCAGTGCTGCCTGATCAGTGCTGCCTATCAGTGCCCATCAGTGCTGCCTATCCATGCCACCTCATCAGTGCTGCCTATCCCTGCCACTTCATCAGTGCCCATCAGTGCTGCCTATCCGTGCCACTTCATCAGTGCTGCCTATCACTGCCCCCATCAGTGTTACGTATCAGTGCAGCCTCATCAACACACATCAGTGAAGGAGAAAAATTACCTGTTTGCAAAATTTTATAATAGAAACAAAGAAAAACATTTTTTTTTCAAATTTCTTGCTCTTTTTTTGTTTATAGTACAAAAAAATAAAACACCCAGCGGTGATTAAGTACCACCAAAAGAAAGCTCTATTTGTGTGAAAAAAAATTATAAAAATTTCATATGGGTACAATATTGCATGACTGCGCAATTGTCATTCAAAGTGTGACAGCGCTGAAAGCCAAAAATTGGCCTGGGCAAGAAGGGGGTATAAGTGCCCTGTAGGCAAGTGGTTAATTATATTGCCAATTAGATGACTGGATGGTGTACCCATTACTTTCAAACTTAAAGTGAATCTAAACTTTGCCAATGCAGGTTAACTTTAATGCAGACCTCCCCTGCAACTCATACTCATTTACACAGGCGTACTTAAAGTGTCATTAAACCCAGTCTCATTACATGCTATATAACAGAGTCTGCATACTCACAAAACCACTAAAGCATTTGTTTTGTATAGAGTGAAATATACCTGCCTTCAACTGTCCTTCCCATCTTCTTTGTGTCGCAATTGCAGGCTGAGATTGTGTAGACCAGCTGGTGTCCTCTACTGAGCATGCTCATATTTCATTTCCCTTCTAAACTCTTAATTTCCTCCTTTTTCTTATCTGCACAGCCCACGACTATAGAGTCACACAAATGGGGGTATATACATAGTGGTAAATGACACTCCCCTCCCTCCCTCCTCTTCAGCGTCCTCCAATTTCTAAACAATATTGGGGCAGGATATAAATGCTGATTGATTACATTCACTAAATGACTCACAAAAAGGATTAATTTTAACATAAATCAGTATTAAATATATCAAATGTAATGGTCAATACCAGTAAAGTTAAAAAAGCAGGTGTTGTCTGAACAAAATGAAAGCATGAGGCAATCATCTTTGACTCTGCCTCTAAATATTAAAACTTGCCTTCAAGAAGATTTACTCCCCTTCCTGACCAGGCCATTTATTGCGATACGGCGCTGCATTAGTTTAACTGACAGTTGCACAGTCATGCAATGCTGTACCCAAATGACATTTATGTCCTTTTTCCCCACAAATATAGCTTTTTTTTTGGTGGTATTTGATCACCTCTGTGGTGTTTACTTTTTGCGCTATAAACAAAAAAAGACCAACAATTTTGAAAAAAAAAACATAACATTTTTTATTTTCTGCTATAAAACATATCCAATAAAAACATTTTAAAAATCATATTTCTTCATAAATTTCGTCCAAAATGTATTTTGATACATCATTTTGGTTAAAAAAATCCTAGTAATTGTATATTGATTAGTTTTTGCAAAAGTTATAGTGTCTGATACAGTGATCAGTGCTAAAAATATGCACTGACACTGTACTAATGATACTGACTGGGAAGGGGTTAACATCTAGGGCAGGGGTAGACAACCTGTGGCTCTCTAGCTGTCGTGGAACTACATTTCCCATGAGGTATTGCAACATTACATAAGTGACAGTTACAGCTATGACTTGCAGAGCCATGATGGAACTTGGAGTCCTGCAACAGCTGGAGAGCCACAAGTTGCCTACTGCTGATCTAGGGTGATCAACGGGTTAAGTGTGTGCCTAGCTATGTGCTTGGTATACACTAGGTCAGTGATGGCGAACCTTTTTGAGCCCGAGTGCCCAAACTGCAACCCAAAACCAACTTATTTCTTTCAAAGTGCCAACACTGCAATGAAACCTGAATATCGAGCTTTTGGTTTAGAAAAAACAACTCGTACAGTAGTGCAAACTAATTAACAGTACAGGGATGACCAGAGACTGCGGACAGTACAGGGATGACCAGAGACTGCAGACACAGTACAGGGATGACCAGAGACTGCGGACAGTACAGGGATGACCAGAGACTGCAGACACAGTACAGGGATGACCAGAGACTGCAGACACAGTACAGGGATGACCAGAGACTGCGGACACAGTACAGGGATGACCAGAGACTGCGGACAGTACAGGGATGACCAGAGACTGCAGACACAGTACAGGGATGACCAGAGACTGCAGACACAGTACAGGGATGACCAGAGACTGCGGACACAGTACAGGGATGACCAGAGACTGCAGACACAGTACAGGGATGACCAGAGACTGCAGACACAGTACAGGGATGACCAGAGACTGCGGACACAGTACAGGGATGACCAGAGACTGCGGACAGTACAGGGATGACTAGAGACTGCGGACAGTACAGGGATGACCAGAGACTGCGGACACAGTACAGGGATGACCAGAGACTGCGGACAGTACAGGGATGACCAGAGACTGCGGACAGTACAGGAGATGACCAGAGACTGCGGACAGCACAGGGATGACCAGAGACTGCAGACAGTACAGGGATGACCAGAGACTGCGGACAGTACAGATGACTGCTGACCTTTGGGGAGGGAGGGGGGGGGAGCGGGTACCTGAATTTGACAGGTACCCGCTCTTACTTCCGCAGAGTTTTTTTTTTTTATCTTACCTGTTCCTTTATCCAGCCGCGCGCTGTCTTCCCGGCTTCTGTAGTGTGAGCGCTCGTCGGACAGCCGGATGCCCAGTGCGCATGCGCGAGAAGCGCTGCGCTTTGTGATTGGTCCGGCGGCTTCTGGGATCTGTCATGTGTCCCAGGTACCGCCTTACCATTCACAAAGAGGACTGCTTCTTGCGCATGCGCACTTGGGACCCGGCTGTCACGCACACTACAGAAGCCGGGAAGACAGCGCGCCGCTGGATAGAGGGACAGGTACGGTCCCACTGCAGAGCTGAGCGGCCGGCCCGGTATTCTGACACGGCGGCGGTGGAAATACCGGACCGGCCGCTCTATATTCGCTCCATAAGACGCACTGACATTTTCCCCCCTTTTTTTGGGGAAAAAAAGTGCGTCTTATGGAGCGAAAAATACGGTATTCTCCTGGCGTGCCCACAGATAAGGCTCGGCGTGCCGGCTGTGGCACGCGTGCCACGGGTTCGCCATCACTGCACTAGGTGATACTTTTATTATGGGAAGCGATGGATCGTGTTCTCAGCTCTACAGAGAGAAATGATTCATGACTTTCCCCTGTCACAACAGTGCTATTGTCAGAGATCCCGGTCTTCGCCGCGGCATATGAATCTGCGCATGCGCGGATTACCCAGGCACATCAACATGTGGGCATTAGGACCTGGGCGTCCGCTGTGGCAATTGCGGCCGCACATGCGCACTCGCGCATGCGGGCGCGCACCTGGCACCAATGACGGTGCAGGGCGCGGTATTTAAACTGGCCAGGCAATGTCCTCATTGCCACAAGGTCTTGTTCCTGTTCCTGTGTTCCTGTAAGTGCGTTCCTTGTTGCAGACCCTGCCTGTTCTGATCTATGCTGACCTTCTCCTGCTCTGACCCCCGGCTCGTCCCTGACCATTCCTCTGCCTGTCATTACTATTATTTGGACCCTCTGTTACTGAACCCGGCGTGTGACCTGACTACTCTTTGTCTGCTGCTTCGTACCGCACCTGTCCCCACTGTTACCGACCCGGCTAGTCTGACCATGCTCACTCCTGGCAGTCATCCATCCATCCCGCTTGGACCTGGACCTGTCAGCCCCTTCACAGCAGGCTCATCCTGCGTACATACCCTCAGCGGGACCCCTCTACCATAGTTGGGGGCTCCCAGGGGTCGCCACCTGGTTCCAGTCTTGCACCAAGTCCATCCCCACCATCAGGGGCTCTGGTGAAAAGGCAGACTGGGACTTAGACTCCGCCTCCTGGGGAATCCCGTTCTGTGGACCACTCGAGATCCCGTTGGGCGGAGCCTGACAGCTATGACTATAGTGCTATGTAAAACATAGCCATGGTTCTGTTCTTCCTCCCTGATCAACGATCTGCAGGTGTCTCCGTCGGCATGCACATGCTCCAGTGTGGCAGAAGTGCAAAATGAAGTGCAAAATAATGTTTATATACATGATTTCACACAGGAATGCCACCCTGTAGCAGTAAAACTGCTATAGGGTGGAGGGAAAGTGGTTAATGTACAAAAAAAAGTACACATCAGAGGTTCAATGAGATGTATGAAGGGCTATAAAACCGTTTTTTTTTATATTTATAATTTAATTTGAATTGCTCTTCTGAAACTGTTAGTCATGTGACTGGCACAGCACCAATCAGGGCTGCAGACACAGACTCATAGTGTAGAGAGCATACATCATCAGAGTAATAGAAACTCCTCCTGAAGATCAACATGCTGGCAGTCCCATTCATGTTAATTTGGACAAAGATGCTGCTTCCAATGTCACATCCATGTGTGTGGGTGTGTGTTCCCGCACTCACTGTTTTTGTTTGGGAATGTGCGCTCGCACACACCCGCATCTACAGCGATGTCAAATTGGGAGCAGCGGCTGTGTCAAAAATGACATGATTGGAACTGCCAGCATGCAGATGCACATGCAGATGTAGCAACCCTCCTAGATAGATGCTAGTAATAAGTTAGATTTAGTGCTGGCTCACTGTGTTCAGTGGATCTGTGTGTATTTTTGTCAGGTAAATTACCTTGCTGTAATCATTGCGGCTGTAAATGATTAGTTGGTGTGTTCAGTGTTCCCAGTTGATGTCAGTCTGGTAACTCCATTTCCTTTCCAGAAATCAGTAGAACCGTCTGGGTTATAGGGTTATAGGTGTGGGGCTATGCAGAATGCAGCCTGAATACATATACAGCCCTGGCAATGCCAGGGAGCTGGGCCCTGAAGGATGCTGGGTAACTGTATATATCCCCTGAGCACATTGAGCTCTGGGTGTTTTCCAGTAGGAGAGAAACACAACTTGGGGGGGCCTGAATGCTGAAGCTACTGAGAGCTGACTGTGGGGCTGTCTACTGAAGATCTAGTCTGGTATCATTGAGGGAAAGTGTCTCTTGAAAGTTGGAAGGCGGCAAACAGCTCTCCCTGGATCTTTT